GCTGTGGGACCACCACATGGTCATGTTTGAAAATGATTTCAAGTGATGAGGAACATTTGTTGTGAATTTTCTTCCGTATCCATGATTCTCAAACTTGGGTGGGCTTGTTTGAACACAAATTGCTGGGCCCCACCCCAGAGTTGCCGATCCAGTAGGACTGGGAGAGGAACTTATTCCAGGAAGCACACTTTGAGGACCCCTGTTTCTTGTCTACTGGCATTTACCTCCGTATGTAATTTAGAACCGCATTCTAATAGCAGAATGCAGAGTTTCTTAAGGAAAGCATTGACTATCCAGTGGAAACCATGTGAGCCACATACATAAGATTAAAATTTCTGGTGTCCACAATAAAACAATCTAAATATCAATAGCTGAAATGAATTTAAATAGTATATTTTAACCCAGTGTACCCCAAATACCATTTTAACATGCAGTGAATATAAAAAAGCATGGGTGGGATTTTTTTACATGTTTACTTCATGCTAAATCTGACTTCAGGGTATGTCCTGCGTTGCCAGCACATCTCAGTTCAGACCAGTCGCATTTCAGATGCTCAGTGGCCACGCTGAGATAGTGCAACTCTAGATTCTCCTGGCACACTCCTTCCCTTTCTTAAAACGTGTGGTTTTTAGGCACTTGAGGGGAGTTTGGGATGTATTTCCTCAGTGTCTTCCATGATAGAGAGTGCTTCCTCTGTGGTCACGAACTCTAGACTGTAATTCTTTTTTTTTTTTTTTTAAGATTTTATTTATTTATTTGACAGAAAGAGAGAGCATGTGCAGGGGGAGTGGCAAGCAGAGGGAGAGGGAGAAGCAGGCCCCCCGCTGAGCAGGGAGCCCGATGCGGGACTTGATTCCAGGACCCCGAGATCATGACCGGAGCCAAAGGCAGATGCTTAACTGACTGAGCCACCCGGGCGCTCTAGACTGTAATTCTTGACTAAGTTTGCGTTATGTGTAGCTCCTCAGTAGCTGCCCTCAAGTGAAGATGGGAAGACCCCTGGCAGAGACCAGGACTGGGGATTGGAAGAAGGGCAAGTTGGCATCAGTCGTACTGGGCAGAGGATCTTCTCTTCTCTGAGCTCTTCCTCAGAAAAATTAGAAAGATGAGACCAAGGAATCAGTGACAGATGAGTTGGTTTATGGATGAGAAGTCTTTAAAAAAAAAACAATGATTTTAGAAAAAAAGTGAGATAGTGGGTTGAAGAAAATGAAATAAAAACAATAAGACTGAGTACATGAAAGGCGGAGAGTCCTATCAATGACATAATCTCAGTATATATACGTTATTTATGGACTATTTAAGTATAGCTGGCTTTTGACTCTTACTTGATGGCTTCCATCAGGAATTATATTACTCTAATTCATGTATTTCATTGCCTGATGATAAAAAATAAGATGAGAACGTTGACTTTGATGTGTTCTTTTTCTCTTAATTTTAACGTGGTAACAGAGATGCAAGTGAAAAGACATTTGTGAGAGCATATGCACAGGAACTTGGGAACTTTTAAAAATAATTAGTGCCAAACCTTAAGCCCTGTAAATTAGCACTTGAAATGCACTCCTAAAGAAAACGGTTTTAAAGCTGAACTTTGAGTGAATAATCTGGTTCATGAGTCAGTGAAGGTTGGAGTCAATGCTTTAGACCAAGCAGAGTGCACGCGTGATTCAGAGAATAGCTGTTCAACTCTGCTACCTTCAGAAGACAAGCATGTCTCCCTGAAGCTTGGGTTTCTGTCCTCTCTTTCTTGTAAATTGGTTAAAAACCAATAGCCATGTTTAAGTAGAGTAGCATTAAAAATTGACGAAATCATCCCTACTGATACGTGTGATAGTCTCTCTACTGCCCTGACATTTGAATTTCGTGGCAGACTTTTATCCTGATATTATTCTGCTCGTTTTTCACTCTCTCTCTCTCTCTTCAGTGGGAGATACCACAGTACGTGTTTTTAAAACCATTTGAAGTGACTAAAGGTTTTGAGGGGTGGTTACTTCAGAAAAATTGGCATTTTAGAAAGGCGTGTTTTCCCCTCGATCTCTGTTGATGTTTGAAATCTTCAAAGTGTTGCTATGATCAGAGAAAAACATTTCTTGTGAAATAGTTCTCTCCCAAGAATGCAGCGATTTGAGACTGGCTGGCTGTGGATTCCGATCGTCTGTTCTAGAAGAAGCTGTTTTCACATTATTTGCTTCAGGTTGAGGTCTGGGGCTTGAAAGATTTATTCGTCACTATAGAATATGTAAATATAAAATTAACCTAGTTTTAAAATAAGCTTCAAAGTCAGTCAGAAATGGAGTCTTCCTTAAAATATGCTTAGGCAGTACACTTTCTAGTCCGCATTGCTCATTGGTGACCCCGTGCATAGTGTGTGGATTCTAGTTGCTGCCATTACTTGTGATTACATGTAAAAGGGGGTACGAGGAGGGCAGGACTTTCTGTTTTCTCAGTCAATTGGTTTATTATTTCCAGTATACTTTTTGCACAGAAAATTTTAGCTAAATATTTATCTCAAGATGCTAAAGGTTTGGCTTCAAAAGAAGTTGTGCCAGTATCTACTGAACACTTCTGTGTGCTGTGGAAGTATGCTGAGCGATTCTCATGAATTATCTTGCTTCTTACACTGTCCTTGCAAATGCTGTTATTGTCATCCCTTATATCCATGTGAAAACTGAAGTGTAAAGAGGAGACGTAGCCTGGCCTTTTGGGTCTTAGGTGTCAGAGCCAGGGTGTGAACTGGGCTTTTTAAAATTTTATTTTATTTTTTATTTTTATTTTTTTAAAAGATTTTATTTATTTGAGGGAGAGAGAGCACAAGCAGGGGGAGTGGAAGAGGGAGAAGCAGGCTCCCTGCTGAGTGGGGAGCCCGATGGGGGACTCGATCCCAGGGTCCTGGGATCATGACCTGAGCTGAAGGCAGTCGCTTAACCAGCTGAGCCACCCAGGTGCCTCTGAACTAGGCTTTTTGATGCAGAGCCAACTGCCTTCACCTCCATATTCTCCTGTTTGAAAAAGCTTGACTAGTTTCCTTTCCACTCCATGCTTAGAGAGAACTCAGTAAAAATACATGCCACAAATAAGGACAGGGGATTCTCCTGCAGACTTGGCTCTGGAAATTTTCCAGGTGCAGCAAACAATAGGTGATGCCCATATTATATTCCCAACCTAAGATCCCAAGAAGGTCTAGGGAAAAACCACTGTGTAGGTTAAACAGCTAATTGCTTATGTCACTGGCACTTCCGTAGAAGGACAGCACGTAGGTATGATAAAAAAGCAAAAAAACAGGACAGTACCAAGTGGGTCAGTCTTATTCCATGTAGGGAAATCAACATTTAGGGAAATCATTTGGAGACGTGAGAAAATAAGACCTCAGAGATTAGATTTCTAACTTGCATTCTAATATAACAAGTGACTTCCTTTTCCCTCAGCTCTGTTTACCAACATGTATGTGAATTTTCGGAGTATTAGAATCCTGTGAGAGTCCATTCTTTTGGGGTCCGGGAGCCTCTTCTTAGGAAATGCACATGTAAAATTTTGCGTATCATTCAGGGGTTTCATGAGTCCCTAAAGTCTCTAGGGGTGTCTAGACTTTTACTAGAACCCCCGAATTCATGGATCTCCTGCATTTCATTTTAGTTCATGAATGGCAGACTTCTGTGGCTGTGCTGTAGGAAGAACTTTTGTAGATAAAGCCCTGTGATACAGACCTGGCAGACTTGGGGGATTGATGCTGTTTAAAGCAGTTCCATATCCTGTGATATATGGAGGATGCAGGTTATACTGGGTTGATGGGAATTTCTGAAGAAGTGGCAGTGGAGCTGGGAGAAGAGCAGGTGGACTTGTCAGACCCAGCTAACATGGAAACTCTCTTCATCTTTCAGTTTCCTCTTTTGTGAAAGGAGTGAGGACTGTGTCATGTGACCATGTGGCATGTAAGCGAATGGCAGACGATGAGTCCTGTAGATAAATGGACTGATTGGAATGAGTCTGGGGAACGTTCATCACGTTTGCTTGTTGTTCAGCTACTCAGAGGGTTCTGCGACTCCTCAGAGGGTTCAGCTTCTCTTCGGAGAGTTCAGCTACTCGGAAGGTTCTTAGGGGGCGCAGACCTGTTAAGTTGGAGAAACTGACCCTTGGGACTCTGGGACTTTCTTAACGTGTAATGAGAATCCATGGGATCTGGGGAGGCCACCTGAGAAAGGGAGATGAACGTGAAAATTGATACTGCTAAGGGGAGAAGTTGGGCTTACATTTTTGGACAGTCAGAGGTTTTCATTGGACCAGTGTTCTCCGAAAAGCTAGAAGAGCAGTGGAGAGAGTCTTGTGATGAAGGACACCTCCATCTGATAAATCTAACGCCTGATCAGTGCTATCATAGAGTAATACTGGAATTCGTTAATTAAAGCTATGCTTGGAATACTTACTCATTTGTTCGCCTCTTATTATGTTACAGATAGGTGTGAGAGCTTTTAGAGAGAGGTGTATTGCATTTTGGCGTGAGCAAATCCAGCAGGTTTCTGTGGCTGTTGGGGTTGTCTGGAGACCTTACTACCTCTCCTTCTGCTGTCTCCATTTCTCGTGCAGCAGTGATGTCTCATGTCTTACTAGGTTTGGAAGAATTAAGTCCGTCTTACTCTTCTTTTTTTCTTTTTTTTTTTTTTTAAAGATTTTACTTATTTGACAGAGAGACACAGCGAGAGAGGGAACACAAGCAGGGGGAGCGGGAGAGGGAGAAGCAAGCTTCCCGCTGAGCAGGGAGCCCGATGCGGGGCTCGATCCCAGGACCCTGGGATCATGACCCGAGCTGAAGGCAGACGCTTAACGACTGAGCCACCCAGGGCCCCCCCCCCCCCCCGCCCCGGTCTTACTCTTCTTAAAGATTAATTTTCATTTTCTTTTTATAAACTGCTACAATTTATGCATATTTTGAGTCACTGAGGAAACTCCAGTCTTGTTCATGTCTAGTAAATAATCAAGCTGTTTTGCTCTGTTTTTATTTTCAGATTGAAGAATTTCGCAGGCTGAGGACACATGTGAAGGGGGCAGAGCTCGTGGAAGGCTGTGATGGGGTTTTGGGAGACAATTTTAGACCCACTCAGCCACTTAGTGACAGAGTCATTAGAGCCGCATTTCAGTAGCCAGAGAGAATGGGAACAAGACGGCCTTCATCTGGGTATGTGCAGATTGAGTAAGGAAAATGGGGCTCCCCAGTCATATAAACCTATCACACCAGAGTTAGTCTCATGGTGATCCTGATGATGTAGCAGTGTGAATGCACTTCGCTTTGATAAAAGTTCTCAAACTTTCTTTTTTGACATGTTCTCAAACCTTATTAATTACAAGTCAGGTGGCTTTAAAAATTTCATGCAGTGTTTGAAAAAGAACCTCCGATCCTTGTATTTTCCCACCAGAGCAGCCTTTAATTCCCATTTTGCTTTACTACTGGCCTTCATCAGGTAAGGAGCCCCAAGGCAGAGAAGCATCCCCTCTTTATTCAAGGTAAAGAGGTAAAAGTCCTTTTTAGGGCTCCCTATGCTGCACCCTTGAAATGGCAGCAGTCACCTCCTGATGACTGAGGAACATAAAGGGATCCTCTGGAGGGGTATGTGAGCCTCAGGGCTGACCCTCGTCTAATGCAGGTTTGACCTCTTTATCGGGCTAGGCGAGGGCAGATCTGGCGTGCATTAAAATCCTTGTCCTGTGGAAGTGCTTTTATTTGAAAGATCAAGAAGCATTTCCTAGGTATGTGAATATGGTACGTTTCTTTATTGACTGAAATATAATCTATGCATTTTAATATATTGGATTGAATATATGTATACCTTATCCCCAAAGAGCTGACAAAATAAAATCTCACAGACATGGGAAAGATCAAATATACATAAACGACTGTATCCTGGATTATTTCTTTACCTCGTGAATTACCTAAGAGTGCATAACATCGGTCAGCGCACATAGCTGGCCAACTGCTGCTTCCCACAGAGGAAAGCATCTGTTGGAAGTTACATAGGTAAACAGGACAGAGCTTGGACTTGGTATAATGGACCGTGGTGAGTATAAGCTCACATACTGTGCGAGTGGTATGATATAGACTGGGAGTCACAGATGAATAGAAGTCTCTGGCTTCGGGAAGCTCAAACAGTGTCTTGAGCTAGACAGTTGACATTGGAATTTTCAGAGGTGATCATTTTATCCATGTGTTCTCCAGTCCATTTTTCTTGCTTCTCTATCACTGTAACCATATATATCCAGTACTCCATCCAAACTGTCTTTTTTCTTTGTGAATGTGCTTTGCTCATACAGTCCTTCCCACCCCTCTTGTTGCCTGTTGAAATCCTAGCTACCCTGCAGGCTCAACCCAAATCCTGTTCTCAGCACGAATTCTCTGCTTCTCCCTTACATTGTACCTTTCTATTCACATTCTTTCTTCCATTTAGCTGTGTGTATTTCTTACTTTCTGTGTTACAGTCAAGCTTTTAAAGGGTTGAAACATGTTCATTTTGCTTTGAATCCATTGTGACACATAACACTTTGCGTCTTGAATGTCTGTTGGCCCATTAGTAATTCTTGAGAGCTACACGTAGCGTGTATCAGCCAGCCACATGCCAGTCATTCCCTGACTCTTCGTTTCTGAGTTAGTTGGTATGGTTCTTCCTCTTCTGATTTTGGAGAGGGTGAGGGCCAGGCAAAGTTGCTTTGGTAGGACTGCGAAGGGACTTTCCGTAATTCGTATGTGGTTAACATGAGAGAACATGCAAGACTGCTTTAAGCTAAGCCTTGTGATGGAGGGACTAAAGAATTCAAATTATATTTGATCAAAAATCACTACCGTGTGATTGGTTCTGGGTATCAAAGGTCAGAATAGATGTCTCTGCTCTCAGAAAACAATCTCCTGTGGGGAGCCTGAGAGTGGAAAAATAAATACTAAAATAGATATTTCAGAAAACATACAACTACAACTTATAATAAATCCATGAATGAGAAGAACAAAAAAAGACAGTGAAGGAGATTTCAAGTAGAGGGAGTATCTTTTGCAAAAGCCCTGAGGGGCTACTCCCTGTGGAGGGAAGAATTTGATGCATTGAGGAACATAGGAAGGCCCTGTGTGTCTGGGGTGTAGGACTCAAAGGGGCAGGGCTCTTATCTTGGAGGCCCTGTCAGCCTTGTTAAGGCATCTTTATTTTGCTGTTGATGCATTGAGAACCTCTAAAGACTTCTGCTCAGGGGTGTGGCCTGACCTCATGTACGTTTCCAATAGATCACGGTAGCTGCGGAATGAACAGATTGGATGATAGTGGGCCAGGGGCAGGAGTAGGGAGATATTTTAGAAGTCTGCTGGGTAGCCGAGGTGAAAGACGCAGAGACTCGGATACTAGACCAGGAGCCATGGAGATGGGGAGAAGTTAAAGTATGTTTAGTAGACCTTGAAAGTGATAGTACCTAGTTGACAAACTGGATGATGGTGGAGAGAGAGGGAAATATCAAAGATAACTACTGGGATTTGGGGGCTTTAGAAACTGTGTGCGGGTCAAGTGCCGTCATCGAATGACAGCAGGAAAACCAGAGGAGACTCTTGGGAAGTTACAAAGAGTTGAGTTGGAGCTCGTTGAATGAGAGAGGTCTGTCAGTCACACTAATGGACCCTTCATGCAGCTAACTGGACTTTCAGAAGCGGAGATCAGAAAGGAGGTCTGAACCGAATATGGGAGTCATTGAGTCATTGGCATGGAGCTTGGATATACACATATCACGTTCTGATGCTGCATGGGATTGTCTCATTAAGTGTTCACAAAATTTTTAATGTGAGACTTGGTAGATAAGTTCACAAAAGCACGGAGAAGTTAGATCACTGGCCAAGATAACGCAGTCTTTGGAGCAGCAGAGCTGAAATTGGACCCAGGCAGCCTGGCTGGCAGAGCCCCTTTTGTTACCCACTGCCCGGCAGGGGTCAGGGAGTGCCCCCAAGCTTGCGGTGAGGGTGGTGTGACGAGGAGGGGTGCGTGTTGCAGCAGAGCGGAGTCCAGTGGGAAGGGAAGAGGGGGAGATAAGGTGTGATGGCAGCTATTGATGAACTGGGTGGGAGGAGAGCAGAAGGCTGCAGCAGTAGAGGGGGTGAAGGAATCCAGGGACACTTTTTAAACAAAAAAACCACTAGCACTTGTCTGTATGTTGGGGTAATGAGCCAGTCGGTGGGAGGCGATGAAGGTGCCACTTCTCAGGGGGGCTAATCCTAGCTGTGCGGTCTCTGAAGACTTGAGAGGGAATGGAATCTGGGGTGGCTGGCTGGCTCAGTTGGAGGAGCATGAGCCTCTTGACCTGGGGATCTTGAGTTCGAGCCCCACCCCGGGTGTAGGGATTACTAAAAAAGAAAGGCAATGAAATCCTAAGCAAATGTGGCGATTGCCTTTGTTACAAGAAGGGACACTTTCTGGGCTATAATGGGAAGAGAGACGATTGCCTTTGTTGCAAGAAGGGACACTTTCTGGGCTGTAAGACGAAGAGAGACGGAGGTGGTGGTTTGTAGAGTTAGCATTTCCATGACTTGCCTTTCTTATTTAAGGAAGAATTGGGCTGCAGCTAGGAGAGGTGGGAGGAGGGAAGGTGGGAGACTGGAGCAGAGGGGAAGGGGGATTGGGGGCTTGCAGGAGCGACCCAGTAGGAGGGGCAGGTGGGCTGGCCGGAGGTGTGTGGTGAGGTTTGGTGAATGTGAATTTATTAATTTCCCCAGTCTAGGTTTTGTGTCCTCTCTGAATATCAGTAACTGTAAATGACACTTTTTATGAGATCACATTATTACCATGAACTTTTGATCCACATCTAGCCCTAGACCAGAGTTGCCTTTCTCTAAATATCTAAATAACCATCACTCTTTTATCTCCCCCATACGTGCACACAGACTGAAATGCTGTTGATGAGATTATGCGTATTTCAGGTGCTTCATATTCCTTATATGATAGGAAGATAATGTATAATTTTTCAAGGCTTTAAATTATTACGATCTAGGTCTTTTCAAAGGAGGATGGATTTGTATCCTTATCTTGGTGACTGAGATGACTTAAGAGGGGTCACTTTCCCCCAAATTCCTAAGAATGGTGCAGGAATTCTTTCAAAGGCAACTCCAGTTTAGACTTCATCCTTCTATGAATACATTTTTGACCCTTTTATCTTGAAATGTGTAATAGAAATCTAGTCATAGTTCTACATAAAAATTATATTGGGAAATCAGGCTTATGGATGTGTGCTTTTTATTTGATATTTAATAATGCCCTAAGGCAGGTAATTCAAATTTTTATTAAAGTGAAATGGTTTGACAGTCAGACTTTGAATTTAATGCATGAATGTTTCATTTAAGCTCTTGGAACTGAAAAGGAAAAAAAATTTTTTTCTGGTGGTTCTCTAAAAAAATGTTTAAAATAATTCAGATTTATTTTAGCTATGTCTACTAAAATAACTAGTTTTTGGACTTAAAATGACTTTTTTTTTTTTTGCATGACATGTCTAGACATCTGGAGGGCTTTGATAACCAAGACTTATTATTTCCATGAATAATCTGTGACTTTTTATATTACCATTTAAGAAGTATGAACTATGGTTTTATACTTGTTTAAAGAACTAGCACATAACTCATCCAGGTGCTGGAAATTCTTTAGTTTGGCAGCGCTACTTCAGATTTCTGGGAGCCAGTGGACATGAAATGATTCTTTACCCATTGAATTTTCTGTATGAGAACCGAATCTTAATAATAACAAACAAAAAACAAGACCAAAGTTTTGGTCTAGTTTACTTGTTGCTCTTGGTATCTTAATATTGGTACTTAGTTCTGATGAGATGATTACTTGCCTGTTTCATGAAGTTTTAGCCCATTATTTAGAGCTTTTCTGACTGCTCAAAGACTTGTCTGTTTCCCCTGTAGCTCAGATATTGTTAAGCTGCGCATGTGTACAGTAACTATACTTAATTATAATTATTTATTTTCTGTGAAACCTATGCCACAAGGCTCTTTAAATAGTTTCCTTTCTTCCCCCCCACCCCCCCCCCCGAAAGGGGGAAGAAATCTAAGTATGCCTCCAAGTAAATTAGGGAAAAAAATAAAGAAGAAAAAAGAGGGTTATAAACCAAATGACTCTGAATGTTCCCTTTTCAGGCTTGCCCTCATTTTTGTTTCTGGGTCTT